GGCCACTGCTTTGGCATCTCTGGCCGCACGTGCCGGCCGCACCGGCTAAAGTCCGATGTCCTTGCTCAGATCAAGCCATGCTCTGCACCCACTCCCCATCACCTGCTTCTCTCTGTGCACCCGATTCGTGCTGGGGACGGCCCTTGTGTTGCCCGAAATCTCCCTGCCTGCTGCTGTCCCGTGTAAAAGGCGAGAGGATGGGGATGCTCAGCACAGGCGCTGGGAGGGGGCTGGGGTTTGCACCCTGGTGAGGTACGACATGATGTGCCGTGTCCAGCCGGGATGGCTCGGCACCCTCCTTGGTCTGAAACTGAGTGTGTGGTGGGGATGCCTGGCTCTCCGGTGCTGCTTTGGGTTTTGGCAAAGGGGAAGAATTCACCGCCAGCATCCTCAAGGGACTGATCCCTGGTGCTGCCCAGGGCTGCAGGGTCACATCCAGAGCCACGTGGCCTCAGCCCCTTGGTCCTCAAAGGTGCTTCGTCTTCTCTTTCAGACCTTCATCTTCACGGACGGAGAGGATGAGGAGCTGAAGAAGCAAGCACGTGAGTCTCCACAGACTCCTTGTCCCTTTGCATGCGTGACCTGGCCAGGTCCCCTGAGGAGCTCCTGCCCAGGGAGCATGGCTGGCGTGGAGCCTGACCCGGGAGCTCTGAAAAAATGGTCAAAACGCCACTGGTTAGACACTAATCTGAGGAGCCCTTGCTATGGGGACCTGGGCTGAGAACAAGGCAACTTGTTTCACTGATTGTGCCTGAAGCACCCTCTGCCCAGCAACCCCACCTGGGGATGAGTTTCCTTCCCAGTAAGCCCAGCCCAGCCCATCTCCTGCGTGATGCACGCTAACGGGGTGGGGTGCCTTTGTACCGGTTTGTCCCTGGAGCGAGCTGGGATTGATGGGCAACGCAGCCAGGATTTCACGCAGCCAGGATTTCACGGCAGCATTTTCCTGGCAGCCCTTTCCCAGGGCCCAGGGTCGGCGTGGTCTATTCTCCCCATGCAAATGACTCCTTTTCAGGCCGGGAAGCGATTGCCTTTGAGCTGGGCGAGCAAATGACAGGTGGCCGCTGCAGGGAAAGGCCACAGGAAAAGGGCAGGATTTTGACTATCGTGTCCTGGAGAAGCTGGCTCATGGACACCCCCGCACTCCCAGGGTGGCTGGGATGGGCAAGGTGATGTAGGGTGGCATCACGCATAGCACATGGGATATGGCTCAACCCTGGTGTAGCTGCTGCATCAGCATCCCTTGCTTATCCCTTCCCTTATCTCATGTGGACCCAAAAGCCATTCTCCCCAAAAATTCATCCTTTGCCCAAAACCAATGTGGCATGGAGACCACTGAGGCATCCATGAGGTTTCCAACCCCCCGGCACGCTTGAGATGTGTGTGGTGAAGCGTTGCCATTTAAGCATGTGGGGAGATGTGGGGTACCCCGATGCCGGGCTCTGACCACCACCTCTTCCCGCAGGAAACGTCATCAACACCAACTGCTCGGCCGCCCACAGCCGCCAGGCCCTGTCCTGCAAGATGGCCGTGGAGTACGACAAGTTCATCGAGTCTGGCAGAAAGTAAGCAGCACCCAAGGCTGCCGTGGGGGACGGTGGGGGCTGCAAGGGGAGGGGGATGGTATACAAGCAGAGGCCGTTCGCATTTTGGGGGCTGTATCTCAGCATGGGGTCTGGGAAGGTGCCCCGGCCCGATGTGACACTGCTGTCACTGTAGGTGGTTCTGCCACGTGGACGATGACAACTACGTGAACGTGCGGATGCTGGTGAAGCTGCTCTCCAGCTACCCCCACACGCAGGACATCTACATCGGGAAGCCCAGCCTGGACCGACCCATCCAGGCTACGGAGAGGATCAGTGAGAACAAGATGGTGAGGAGGGGAGCGAGAGGTTGGGGCTGGCTTAATTTGGGCTGGGGTTTGCTCCCCGGTCGTCAGGAGGAGATCTCACTGCCCTTGCTTCCCCCTCTCTTGCAGCACCCTGTGCATTTCTGGTTTGCCACGGGTGGAGCAGGGTTTTGTATCAGCCGGGGGCTGGCGCTGAAGATGAGCCCGTGGGCCAGGTAAGAGCGTTGGTGTTGCTCTCCCATGGGGACTCGTCATGGTCCCAGCGGGGCACGGAGCTGCGACATCTTTGGGGATGGACATTGGACCGTGCCCCACCACCTTGCTCTCTTTGCCTTGCTGGGGGTGTCTGCAGGGGGCTTGGAAACAAGCTGGGAAGGACTTTGGTTCCCCCTAATTGACTTTTAATTAGAGCTGGGCACCCGCTGGTCATGTCCAGACCCCGCAGGGTGCCCACGTCCCCTGGGCTTTGCTCCTCTGCAGCCCCCTCTCTGTCTCCCGGCAGCGGGGGCCACTTCATGAGCACTGCGGAGAAGATCCGCCTGCCCGACGACTGCACCATCGGCTACATCATCGAGTCCGTGCTGGGGGTGAAGCTCATCCGGAGCAACCTCTTCCATTCCCACCTGGAGAACCTCCACCAGGTGCCCAAGTCGGAGATCCACAAACAGGTATCCCATGTTGTCACCTAAAAATTGGGCATCGCAGCTAAGATATTGATTGACGCGTGGCCAAAACATCAGTGGAGGAGGAAAACCCTATCAGCCCATCCCTGTGGGGTGATGCAGAGTATGACTGAAGGCTTTGGGAAATGGGGTGAATTTTGCAGCCTTCCCCCCCCACATGCCCCTGCTTGATCCTCATGGCCACATCGGCCGCTTGACCCCCCCCCCTGTGCTTCCCCCCCCCAGGTGACACTAAGCTACGGCATGTTCGAAAACAAACGCAACTCCATCCACATGAAGGGAGCCTTCTCCGTCGAGGAGGACCCATCCAGGTGAGTTGGGGGGACCCTATCCTCCCCAAGCCAGGGTGCCTTGGGGCCGCTGCCACCCCATGCTCAGCATCGCTCCTCTCCTCTGCAGGTTTCGCTCTGTTCACTGCCTGCTGTACCCTGACACGCCGTGGTGCCCCGCCAGTGTGGTTTACTAGGAGACGTGTGTCCCCTCCAACCTCGTCCCGAATTTCCCCGGTATCCGACGGGCGTGCGGGACCCTGCGTGCGGGTGTGTCAGTCCGGCCTCGCTGCGAGGCTGACGGACCGACGGACATG